AATGAAGTTCTATCATAACAACTGAGAGAACAACAAACAACAAAAACGAGACTTTTTTGTCTATATTCAAGTGTTTACGTATTACTTGTTTATTTTATTGTTACATATTATACGACAGAGTGAAACCTGTAGTTATGTTAATTGCAGATCTGCATGAAAAGATTTCCACCCTGCCTTAACGTACTACTGTTTTTTTTTTTTTTTATATAATTGTACTGTATAACTGTATATGCTATAAATTATATTATAAGGTTTATCTTGTAATATAAATAATTATCATCTAAATCCCCGATTTTTGCTTTCGTCTTTTTTTTTTTTAAATCAAAAACCCTTCAATAAAAAAATTTAAAATTGCCATTATGAATCATCCTATAAATCAAGTAATTGGAGGTCAACCTTTGGCTCCTCGAAACGCTAATATTCCTGCAAATCAAGTAATTGGAGGTCAACCTTTGGCTCCTCGAAACGCTAATATTCCTGTAAATCAAGTAATTGGAGGTCAACCTTTGGCTCCTCGAAACGTTAATATTCCTGTAAATCAAGTAATTGGAGGTCAACCTTTGGCTCCTCGAAACGCTAATATTCCTGTAAATCAAGTAATTGGAGGCCAACCTTTGGCTCCTCGAAACGTTAATATTCCTCAACCTTTGGCTCCTCAAAACGCTAATATTCCTGTAAATGCACCCTTTGATAACCTAACTGCCGAACAAAAGTATGAACTTTTAACTAAAGGTGCGGATCCGTTTACTAATAGTGCTGGAGCACAAGAAGCAGAACATCAGGAAGTTCAATTCCCGAACGTTATTATTTCAGGATCATACTTCTGATAAGAATTTTATTTTTTTCATTAAAGAATTTTTAAAGAAATAAGCTTAAATATGTTTCTCTTTTTCCTTATATCTACGTATTTTATATATGCAATTGATCTTTCTAAATTCTCAATTATATATTTTACGATTATAGCTTAAGATTGTAAATAGAATAGAATGTAAAAAAGAAAAAAATTCATTATCCGACGTTTTTTATAATTTTCACTATCCTCACGATCATTATAAACATGTACAATAATTCAATTTAATATAGATAAATCAATCACATATCACATATCATATCACTCGTGGCAATTTGCAGGCAAATTTGCCTACAAGACGTTCCTATAAGACGCTTAAGAGATCATAATGTATTCTATTAAGACGATACATATTTTAATTAATAAAGTTGGCAGATTTGGTAAATGTGTTTAATATAAATTTTTAGTTTGTGCATTAACAGTTAATGACTCAACACTAATAGTGGCCTAATAAAATTAAAACAAAAGGTATTTAGATATATATGGAGAATGGACTGGAAAAACCACACTCTGACGCTTGCTTTCAGATAGAGGTTTTCCTAGTCCATTCCTCATATAAAAAATATTTGTGTTTATCTGTAAGACAATGCAGAATCGATTTCATAAAAATTTTCGTAGTAATATTAAAAGGTTTTATTTTCTGAAAAAAAAGAAACTATTCTTTGCGTGGGTATCTTGCAATATGATTATTAACCCTTCATTTCGATTTTTTACAGAGGATCACAAAAATTCCGGTCGGAATGCATCGGAGCTGGCCGGCATTAAGCAATGTTAGCAAACATAGTCTATAGTAGAGGTTGGAACATATAGGATACTTTCTCGTGATTGGTCGTCACATGAAATTGAATAACACGTTATTATTGGCCAATTGTGAAACATGTGACAATCAA